AACGTTCCGGAGATCCGATCCATACAACGGAACGTTCCGGAGATCCGATCCATACAACGGAACGTTCCGGAGATCCGATCAGCTTTGTTTGTAGATCCTACGAGTCGGAACCTGGAGATTGGGGCCCCTGGCCGGCTCACTGGGGCCGTTCCAATGTCCGGGGACACAATCCGTTGCTATTGGTTACCACTTCCCGTATCTTTGGTTGCAGATTAGATTTCCGCTTTATATCTAAATTTACATTCAGCGGAATATTCTACAAAAAATAAATAATTATTATCAGAGAATTAAAGGGCGACTCCATTCAGAAGTGATACTCCGGGATTTGGGGGATTCTGGAGGGTTCCCGGCTCCGCCCATTGTGAGGGATCTCCCACAATCCTTAGGTGAGACTCAGAGACGGGTGGGGCCAGGACAGGAGTCCTCCAGAGACGGGTGGGGCCAGGACAGGAGTCCTCCAGAGATGGGTGGGGACCAGGACAGGAGTCCTCCAGAGAGGGGTGGGGCCAGGACAGGAGTCCTCCAGAGATGGGTGGGGCCAGGACAGGAGTCCTCCAGAGATGGGTGGGGACCAGGACAGGAGACCTCCAGAGATGGGTGGGGACCAGGACAGGAGTCCTCCAGAGATGGGTGGGGCCAGGACAGGAGTCCTCCAGAGATGGGTGGGGCCAGGACAGGAGTCCTCCAGAGATGGGTGGGGCCAGGACAGGAGTCCTCCAGAGATGGGTGGGGACCAGGACAGGAGTCCTCCAGAGATGGGTGGGGCCAGGACAGGAGTCCTCCAGAGATGGGTGGGGCCAGGACAGGAGTCCTCCAGAGATGGGTGGGGCCAGGACAGGAGTCCTCCAGAGATGGGTGGGGCCAGGACAGGAGTCCTCCAGAGATGGGTGGGGCCAGGACAGGAGTCCTCCAGAGATGGGTGGGGCCAGGACAGGAGTCCTCCAGAGATGGGTGGGGCCAGGACAGGAGTCCTCCAGAGATGGGTGGGGCCAGGACAGGAGTCCTCCAGAGATGGGTGGGGCCAGGACAGGAGTCCTCCAGAGATGGGTGGGGCCAGGACAGGAGTCCTCCAGAGATGGGTGGGGCCAGGACAGGAGTCCTCCAGAGATGGGTGGGGCCAGGACAGGAGTCCTCCAGAGATGGGTGGGGCCAGGACAGGAGTCCTCCAGAGATGGGTGGGGCCAGGACAGGAGTCCTCCAGAGATGGGTGGGGCCAGGACAGGAGTCCTCCAGAGATGGGTGGGGCCAGGACAGGAGTCCTCCAGAGATGGGTGGGGCCAGGACAGGAGTCCTCCAGAGATGGGTGGGGCCAGGACAGGAGTCCTCCAGAGATGGGTGGGGCCAGGACAGGAGTCCTCCAGAGATGGGTGGGGCCAGGACAGGAGTCCTCCAGAGATGGGTGGGGCCAGGACAGGAGTCCTCCAGAGATGGGTGGGGCCAGGACAGGAGTCCTCCAGAGATGGGTGGGGCCAGGACAGGAGTCCTCCAGAGATGGGTGGGGCCAGGACAGGAGTCCTCCAGAGATGGAAGAAGCCTGACCTCCAGAACTCCGCCTTCTGCTGAAATGCCACTTCTTGGGTGGACGGATCCCTTGGAAGACATACCCGCCCATCCCCCGTCTATTGCTATCTTTCACATTCGGGGAAAGTGTGGAGAAGGAAACCTTCAGATGAGGCGGCCTATGTGGAGTCATTAGATGTATCCGGGGCCCACTCACATTATAGGGCCAATCCATTTCCTGTCGGCCTTCAACGCATCACAATATGTAGACGACCGTTTTATTCAACATGGCGGCGCAATGCCTGTCCCCCGGTGGGGGGTGGAAGGTGCCAGCGAGGTGTTGTCATTTTTGTGCTGGAACAATAAAGTTGGTTTCAGTCTGACAGAAGTTGCAGTTTCACCTGATGGGAGGAGCCAATATCAGAGACACGCCCTCCGATGCAACATTATATTGTACCCGCTCTGGAAGGAACCGGTTCCCGTGCTCTTTGTGATGGACATTGAAGGCCCCAGGAAATGGATGAGTGTATGAGGACGCGGAGCCGCGCGGTGACGGATGAGGACGCGGCGCGCGGTGACGGATGAGGACGCGGAGCCGCGCGGTGACGGATGAGGACGCGGCGCGCGGTGACGGATGAGGACGTGGAGCCGCGCGGTGACGGTGGAGGACGCGGAGCCGCGCGGTGACGGTGGAGGACGCGGCGCGCGGTGACGGTGGAGGACGCGGCGCGCGGTGACGGATGAGGACGCGGTGCGCGGTGACGGATGAGGACGTGGAGCGCGGAGACGGATGAGGACGTGGAGCCGCGCGGTGAGGGATGGGGACGTGGAGCCGCGCGGTGACGGAGGAGGACGCGGAGCCGCGCGGTGACGGATGAGGACGTGGAGCGCGGAGACGGATGAGGACGTGGAGCCGCGCGGTGAGGGAGGAGGACGTGGAACCGCGCGGTGAGGGAGGAGGACGTGGAGCCGCGCGGTGACGGAGGAGGACGTGGAGCCGCGCGGTGACGGAGGAGGACGTGGAGCCGCGCGGTGACGGAGGAGGACGTGGAGCCGCGCGGTGACGGAGGAGGACGTGGAGCCGCGCGGTGACGGAGGAGGACGTGGAGCCGCGCGGTGACGGAGGAGGACGTGGAGCCGCGCGGTGACGGAGGAGGACGTGGAGCCGCGCGGTGACGGAGGAGGACGTGGAGCCGCGCGGTGACGGAGGAGGACGTGGAGCCGCGCGGTGACGGAGGAGGACGTGGAGCCGCGCGGTGACGGAGGAGGACGTGGAGCCGCGCGGTGACGGAGGAGGACGTGGAGCCGCGCGGTGACGGAGGAGGACGTGGAGCCGCGCGGTGACGGAGGAGGACGTGGAGCCGCGCGGTGACGGAGGAGGACGTGGAGCCGCGCGGTGACGGAGGAGGACGTGGAGCCGCGCGGTGACGGAGGAGGACGTGGAGCCGCGCGGTGACGGAGGAGGACGTGGAGCCGCGCGGTGACGGAGGAGGACGTGGAGCCGCGCGGTGACGGAGGAGGACGTGGAGCCGCGCGGTGACGGAGGAGGACGTGGAGCCGCGCGGTGACGGAGGAGGACGTGGAGCCGCGCGGTGACGGAGGAGGACGTGGAGCCGCGCGGTGACGGAGGAGGACGTGGAGCCGCGCGGTGACGGAGGAGGACGTGGAGCCGCGCGGTGACGGAGGAGGACGTGGAGCCGCGCGGTGACGGAGGAGGACGTGGAGCCGCGCGGTGACGGAGGAGGACGTGGAGCCGCGCGGTGACGGAGGAGGACGTGGAGCCGCGCGGTGACGGAGGAGGACGTGGAGCCGCGCGGTGACGGAGGAGGACGTGGAGCCGCGCGGTGACGGAGGAGGACGTGGAGCCGCGCGGTGACGGAGGAGGACGTGGAGCCGCGCGGTGACGGAGGAGGACGTGGAGCCGCGCGGTGACGGAGGAGGACGTGGAGCCGCGCGGTGAGGGATGAGGACGTGGAGCCGCGCGGTGAGGGAGGAGGACGTGGAACCGCGCGGTGAGGGAGGAGGACGTGGAGCCGCGCGGTGACGGAGGAGGACGTGGAGCCGCGCGGTGACGGAGGAGGACGTGGAGCCGCGCGGTGACGGAGGGGGGCGGGGGGCCGCG